CCTTTTGTCTTTGTGCCCCCGGCACCTAGCACATTGCATGGTGCCTAGTAGGTCAACAAGCATTTACTAAGCGGTTATGATGGTGCCAGATGTGGTGCTGTGTGCTGGGGATAACAAAGAAACACAAAAACAGCCCCTGTGTTTGAGCTAACATTCTAGTAAGGTAAGGAAGATGCAAATAACGTGTATATATAAACTGTAAACAGTGTGAATGGAAGATAATTTCCTTTTTTTTAACTTAGTATCTTATTTTTTATCCAATAGCATGTACAGAAAGTTTTCAGTATTCATTTTTGTAAGATTTTGAGTTCCAGATTTCTCTCCCTCCCTTGCTTACCTCTCTCCTCCCGAAGACAGGCAAGCAATCTGTACAATCAAGTTAAACATATTTCCACATTAGTCATGTTGTGAAAGAAGAATCAGAGCAAAAGGGGAAAATCACAAGAAAGAAAAAAAAAAATCCTTGAATGTAGAAGCTGCTGTAAGTCCTGTGTAATCCTGGTTGTGGCTCCCCGATATATGAATTGTCTCTTTCTCACTGCTTGCAGTATTTTCTCCTTGACCTGATAATTCTGGAATTTGGCTACAATATTCTTTGCAATTTTCATTTTGGGATCTCTTTCAGGAAGTGACCAATGGATTCTTTCGATGACTATTTTACCCTCTGGTTCTATCCAGGTTCTTTCTTTCTTTTTTTTTTTCTTTTTTTTTTTTTAATGATCATGGCCATCAGGTAGTCCAATAATTCTTAAATTTTCTCTCCTGGATCTATTTTCCAGGTCAGTTGTTTTTCCAATGATATATTTTACATTTTCTTTTACTTTTTTCATTCTTTTAATTTTGTTTGACTGATTTTTGATGTCTCATAGTTATTAGCTTCCACTTGCCCAATTCTAATTTTTAAGAAATTATTTTCTTCAGTTAGCTTTTGTACCACTTTTTCCATTTGGCCAATTCTGCTTTTAAAGGGGTTGTTTTCTTCAGTGGATTTTTTTTTCCAATTTGGCCAATTCTGTTTTTTTCCTTTTTTGTTTTTGTTTTTGTTTTCTTTGCTAGGCAGTGGGGTTAATTGACTTGCTCAGGGTCACACAGCTAGTAAGTATCAAGTGCCTGAGGTCACATTTGAACTCAGGTCCTCCTGACTTGAGGGCCAGCGCTCTCTCCACTGCTCCACCTAACTGCCCTGGCCAGTTCTATTTTTTAAGGACTTGTTGTCTTCAATCAGTTTTTGTGCTTTCTTTTCCAAGCTGTTGATTCTTTTCTTTCATAATTCTCCTGCATAACTTTAATTTCTTTTCCCAGTTTTTCTTCTACCTCTCTTAGCTCTTCCAAGAGGACTTTTTGGGCTTGAGACCAATTCATATTCCCCTTTCTGGCTTCACATGTAGGCTTGACGTTGTTATCCTCTTTTGAGTTTCTGTTTTGATCTTCACTGTCGCCATAGCAGCTTTCTATGGTCGGGGCTCTTTTCTGTTTCATACACATTTTTAGACTATTTTGTGACTTTTAAGGTTGAGCTCTGCTCCTGGGGCACAGGGGGTGCTGTCCCTCACTTCTTATTCTGGGGGCTAAAGGCCTGGTCACTGGCTTTCCAAGCTAGGGCTCAGGTACTTGTGACTTGCCCACTGTGCTAAGCTGCGCAGCTTAGTAGCACCTGTTGTACTGGGATTCCAGGGCTCAGAATTTGTCTTCTTGGTGGGGCTGGAGGCCTCACAGTTGGCCTGCTGTGCTGTCCACTAGCCACGACTGAGAGGCTTTGGCTGCTGATCTGTACTGTGGCTAAGCGCCTCCTGCTTTCTTGCCGAGACATGGGCTGTGCTAGGCTGTACTTCTTTTACTCGAGTGAGACAGACCTATTCTGAAGTCCTTTTAAGTTATCTTAAGCTGGAAAATTGTTTTGCTCCGACTTTTAGGAAGGTTATTTTTGAGGGAAGGCATGCATTCCCTGGCTGCAGATGGGACCTAGAAACGGTTCCTTTAACTGGTAGAATTTGAGCCAAGTCTTGAGTAAGCCAGGAAATCTAGGAGTCAGAGGTGAGGAGGGAGAAGCGTTACAGGTATGGGGGACAGCCAGTGTCAGCTCATCGAGTTTTGGGAAATGGAGTGTCCTGTGTGAGGAATAGCAAATAGATCAGTGTTGCTGGATCAGAGAGTATGAGGAGGGGAGTTAAGTCTAAGAACGTTGGAAAGTAGGAAGGTGCCAGGTTGTGAAGGCCTCCAGATGCCAAAAAGAGCATTGTCCATTTGATCCTGGAGGTGAGAGGGGTGACGTGCTTGAAGCCACGTGGAGAATGGATGGGAGTGAGAAGAGGCTTGAAGCTGGGAGACTGGACAGGGTGCTGTTGGATGAGGTGGTCTTGTAACAGGGCGGTGGCCGTGTGAATTGTGGGAAGACGAGGACATATTAGACAGATGTGTAAAGTGAAGATAAAAATAACAAGATTTGACAAGAGATTGGATGTGCCAGGTGTATGTCTAAGTGACTGCAGTCCCAGTTGGTCAGTTGCTCCCAGAGCCACCATTTAAGGAAGGGCCCTGGCCAACTGTTCACTCTTTGATTCCCCTTCTGACTCTGTCCAGACTTCAACTCTTTGATTCCCCTTCTGACTCTGTCCAGACTTCTTTTTCCACCATGAGCTAGTGTGGATACCTTTTCTGCCCTCCCCCTTACAGCTTTCTTTGATATGTGATTTTCCCCCATTAGAATGTAAGCTTCTTGAGATCAGGGACTGTCTTTGCTTTTATTTGTATTTCTAGCACTTAACATAGTACCTGGCACATAGTACTTAATAAATGCTTATTGATTTGACTTTATTTGGACTGGGTTGTGCCCTCAACAAGTAATAGAAAAGTTGGGAAGAGAGGAAGGTTTGTGTGTGTGGGGGGGGAGAATAGGAGGTGGGGCCAAGAATATTACCAAGTTGTATTTTGGGCATATTGAATTTGAGATGCCTGTGGGATAGTCAGCTCAAGATTTCTAAAAGTGATGAGGGACTGAATCTCACAGGGAGATTGGGACTGAATGTACCGATCTGGAATTCATCTGTGTTGAGATGATAGTTGAACCCATAGGAGATAAGATCTTCATGTAAGATTATTGTCTTAGTATGATAGAAGAAAAGAAGTAGGCCCAGAACAGAGCCTTGGAGGACATCCATGATAGGTTGATGTGATCTAGATGAGGATCCAGGAAATGGAAATGTGAAGGAGTAGTCACACAGTTAAGAGAATTAGGCAAAAGCATTAGTCTGAACACCTAGACAGGAAAGAGTATGTGGAAGAAAAGGAGGATTCTCAGTATCAAAGGCTGTAGTAAGGTCAAGTAGAGGATGAAGAAAAGACTGTTACTTCATTTGGCAAGTAAGAGGTCACTGATAACTTTGGAAAGAGCAGTTTCAGTTGAATGGTGAGGGTGGAAGCCAGTGGGAGGTGAGGAACTGGAGGCATTGAGTGTAGATGGCTTTCTCAAAGAGTTGAACTGAGAAGTGGAGAACAGCTATATAGACCAACTGATATTTAGTGGGATGGTTGTATCAAGTAAGGGTTTTTGAAAGATGGGTGAGACATGAGTGTATTTGTAGGCAGCAGGGAAGGGACCAGTAGACTGGAAGAGATTGAAATGTGAGAAGAATAATAGGGAGGGTAATCAACTGAAGAAGGTGGGAGAGGGAAGAGGATTAAGGAGTCATATAGATGTGTTGGCCTTGGCTAGGAGAAAAGGCCACTTCTTTGTGTGAGACTGGAGTGAGGGAAGGGATAATGGGAGAGGCTGGCTGAGTCATGTGAAATGAGGAGGAGGGAGAGAAAAGGGAGCTCTTTGAGAATGGCCTCAGATTTTTCAGAGAAGTTATGAAGATAGGTCCTTGATGGATAGAGTTGAGAGGTGGGAGGTGGGGAAGAGAACCTTGAAGATGTGTGGGAAATGCTATAGCTCAGGACAGTTTCAATTTTATGTTTTATGTTGTTTCCATATAGAAAATCTGGGAAAGTCACTACCTGACATCACTTAGTATAATGACCTGAACTCTTTTTACAGGCGTATATGTAGTTCACAAAATTAAAGAAGCAAAACTTTATGGAAAGATTGAAATACAAACCAAAACCTGAGACAATAAGCAGGCCTTTTCCAAAGATCCCTTTGGATTATTTCTGATTGCTAATTTTTGTGTATGCACATAAGGCTTTCTCTCTTAGCCTTGCCTTTCCTGTGGGGGCAAGAGCAGAGGGTAAATGTGGCTAACAGGAAACCAGTTAGCTTGCCTTGTGCAGAGTTGGGGCTGGAGCAGTTTAGGATGTCATGAAATGATTGGAGGAAGCCTCTAATGAGGGAAGCCCTGGAAGGTCGTAGAGGATGACCACATGTACTCCACCTTCGCCTCAGCTGCTTTCCTGTTTTCTCATTTGATGAGAAGACAATGGAGGGTTTTGAGGGAGAAGTCAAAGTCAACAGAATAGTCAGTACACATTTATTAAGTGCCTACTATGTGCATGAGTCAAGGAGGAGCTTGGGATGTTTTTGGGGTCGGGAGAGCATAACTTCCCTACTCCAGTTCCCTACTTCAATCAGTGTAGATGGCAGCATCTCCTTGCCTCCTCCTCAAGCACAGTTTAGGTGGGCAGAAGATTGATAATGGTGCAGGTGAAATGAGTGGTACGACACTATTCTCATATCAGAATGAAATAGTAAGTGAAAGAAAACCTTTTCATTGTCATTTTGGAGTTTCGGAGAAATCTCAGTAAAAACACACACCCTTTGAAATTATTGTTTAAATTTTTAAAAATTGGCGTCAATTTCCATTAAAGCAACAAACATGTATTTGATTTGTGACATCATAACCATTTGTCATACATTGTTGCAAAGTTAAACAGACACGCAAATTTAACGAAGTTTTGTGTGTTAAAAGAAGCTTCATTCCACAGCTTTAAAAATGTTTCTTTTCTTGGATTGGATCTAAAATTAATTTTCTTCTTTGTTTTCTTCCCTCTTCTTTTTTTTCTAGCCCAAATGCTATGGCCAGATACTGTTGACAGAGGTGTTTAAGCATTTAAATTTGATTGAATCAGATTACTTTGGACTAGAATTCCAGAATGTCCAGTCTTATTGGGTATGTAAAGAATATGATTGTTTATGTTTATTTTGGAAAAATGTTAAAATACTGTTATACAGGGTTGAAATGCATATAGCATTAAATAGTGTATACTTGATGTTGATAAGGTTCCTCCCAATTAGCTTGTGTTTATTTTAGAATATATATTACATTTTATTTTTATATTATTGTTTATATTATATATTTATATTCAGGATATATTATATTTATATAGAATATATATTCTATATTTAGAATATAAATATATTTTAAAACTCTTTTAACAGAAACCTTTTTTTTTTTAAAAGATGGGAAGTATTCTATTCAGATAATTTGTGTTCAGTTGTGAAGGATAGATGAATTTCAGGTAAACTAAGTTGTTGTGTGTGTGTGTGTGTGTGTGTGTATGTGTGTGTGTTTTGTGAAAAGATTGTCTGCATCACTAGTGTTTCTCTCTTGTGCCAATGGAGAGAAGCATTCACCTGGATGGTTACAGCTCCTTTCACATGGTCCACTCAGCTTGTATACAGACAGTCCTGCTGCCAGTGGCAGCATTGAGACTTGGAATGCAGAGTAGAATGAATTCTGCCCCTGAACTGGCTGGCCCAGGAGAAAATGGGGAGGGAGGGGTGTAGCTGAAGGTCCATTAAGAACATCCTACAAGGGCATACTTCAGGACGCTTTCGTTTGTTTGTTCAGTCAGCACTCAGAATCTGACAGGCACAGACTTTGAGAGCTTGGGGATACAAAAATCCTTCAGGATCTTATATTCTCATAGGAAGGAATTTCAGAATTAGGAGAACCTCATAGATCATCCCTGCACCTGCACAAGTATGTTGTCTACACTTTCCCTGCCAAGTGACGTGCTTTTCCCTCCTCTCCAGCTCTGCTTTGCTGGAATACCTCCAGGGTTAAGAACCTGCTACTTCTCCAGGCAAGAAGCTGCCCGGGACATTTCTGGGTCACTCCATTGGTGGAGGGGTTTTCCTTACACTAAGTCCTGTTAAAAAGATTTTAAATCATATAGCAAAAAAGAATCTTCCTTTTTTTCTGTTGTAACGGAATCTGACTTTTTAAAAAAGAAGAGAGGCAATATTCTTAGCTTTTGTTTTTCTCTAGATTATAAATAATATTGATATTTTTCAGTAGATCTATTGAGTGGACATGATGAAGGAAGTATGGCACAGAATGAGTTTTCTTTTCTTTCTTTCATTCTCTTTAGATTTGGCTTGAACCAATGAAACCTATCGTCAAACAAGTACGAAGTAAGTCCGTCTTTGTCCTTTGATGATTGTGAGTTTTGGGAATTGTTTGGGTGTAGTCCATTTCATCACGAGCGCTGGTGAAGGGACAATATTAGCATGAATAAAACAGCAGCTGATACCAAAGTAATTTCTGTTTGTTTTTGGATTAGAAGATGATTTGTAACATTTTCACCTTTAGTTTATGGTTTTCTTTTGCCACTATTGAAATTAATGTATTGTGAGCACATACCAAGTACTTTCAGTGTGTTGCAGGTACAGAGAATAGGTTAGAAAAGCCCATGTAAATTTAAATTTGCATTGATGATTAGTGGTGGATAATCAAGAAATTACTGTCCTTATGGTGGCATTTCTGTCTTTTGTAGGCTTTCTTTCATTGTATAACTGTTTTACCTATTTTGACACTCAGCTTATCTCAAAGGTTTATAGTAACTTGAAGTAGTTTAGTCACAGTAGCAATAACAACAGTGTACACTTATGTAACTTTAAAGTTTGTAACAATTGTTTGGTTTGTGAGAGGATGTTTCCTGTTGTCTGTAGAATCTAACAATTAGGACACTTTCCCTTTTTCAGTTGAAATTCTGCTTATTACAGTTGTAGTAGAGAATCCAGCAGAATGTCTGTTAGATCAGATGTAGTGGCAGAATCCTGTCAACAAATCATAGGATTATCCCAAATGTAAAATCACTCATTGAACAATATGTTACTCTACTTGGTTTTGGAAAGCTTGATAAGAATAGAATAACCCATTTCAATCTAAACTTCCTTGATGTGTAGGAATAAATGGGCCAGAGGCATTTTCTTTGGGGAAAAAAAAAAGGTGCTTTTATTGATACCTTTTGTCTTTAATGCCAGTCATTCTTCCTCTGGTTAAACTCTTCCTTGTTACATAAAAAAAAAACCACCAAGTAAACAAAAATATAGAGACTGTTTATAACCTTGTATATATTCTGCTCTAGCATATTCTATCCTTTCTTCTCTGCCATAAGCTGGGAAACTCCTTCTTTGGTACCTTCATAGGTTTTTCCATTATTTGACAGTGACTGTATATACTATTTTTTATTTTGCTCATTAGTTCATACAGATCTTCCTATGTTTCCCTAAACTCCTCATATTTGTCATTTTACTGCATAAAAATAATCCAGTCCCCTCATTTTACTGTGGTTTCATCAGCTGTTCCCCCATTGATGGGTACCCATTTTGTTTCCTGGTCTTTGCTACCACAAAGAGTGCTGCTATATGAATGTTTTTGTATCTACTGGACCTTTGTTTCTGTCTTTGACTTTTCTTAGACCATATGACCCTTGTAGCTAGATCAAAGGGTAGTTACATTTAGCTACTTTTTTGTGTAATTGCAAAGTGAAATACAGAGTAGAGTATTTAGGCTATAGCCCAGATCCACCAACACATTGTGCATCGGTGCTTATCCTCACATGGCCCCTCCAACATTGACTTTTTCCACTTTCTAACTTTTGTTAGTTTACATGGCGTAAAGTGAAATATCAGAGTTGTTTTAATATGCATTCATTCTTATCAGTGATTTAGCTTCCTTAGGCTGTGAGCTCTTTGGAACAGAACAGTAGTGGTAGTGGTGATAAGTAAGTAATTGGAAAATGGTTCTTGTTGTAAATGTTTCTATTTCCTGTATATTTTGGATAATAGATCCTGTCGGTGATAGTTGATGCAGACATTTTTCTCTACTGTTTTTTTCTATTTCTGTGTCATTGATCTTTTTTTTTTAAACCATAAATTTTACATAGTCCAAACTGTTTTGTCTTTTCTGATTTTCTTTATGCTTTGCTTAAGACCCCTCCCGCAGTCATAATTGTGAAAGTACCTGATCTTTTTGTAATATTTTCATGGTGTGACCTTTTATATTTAAGTTTGTAAACAATTTGAGCTTATTCTAGTATAATGGAAGATACTGTTCTAAACCAGAGTTTCTTAAACTTTTTTGTGTCTCTCACTCCTCAGAATAATGTTTTTAGATGAGTTAAAATCAAACACACAAGATTACAAAGGAAACCATTTATGTTTAAATACAGCTATCAGAATATTATAGGGGCAGCTAGGTGGTGTAGTAGATAGAGCACCAGCCCTGGAGTCAGGAGGACCTGAGTTCTAATGTGACCTTAGATCCATAATGCTCATAAGCGGTGTGACTTTGGGCAAGTCACTTAACCCCAATTACCTCACCAAAAAACAACAACAACAAAAATTGCAAAATGGCTTTATAGCCTCCAGAACCCCTGGTCTAAAGCTAATTTTTGCCAGGTAGCTTTCCCATTTTCATGTTAAAAAGGGGAGTCTTCCCCCTGGTAATTTATGTTCTTGAGTTTATCAGATACTTGGTTCAGTTGTTTCTTTCTTAGCTAATCTACTATTGCTTTATTAATATAGTTTGATATCTGGTAATGATGATTTTCAGTTGATATCTGTTTTGAGATGGTCCCTTGATTTCTAGTTTTCCTTGAGATTTTGGATCTTTTGTTCTAAGTGAATTTCGCTAATATTTTGTCTCCCTCTAGAAAGTATCATCTCAGTAATTTGATTGACACAGCTCTAAATAGGTTGTATCATCATATTTATTATATTGACAGGGCCCAACTATGAGCAGTAAAGATTTCTCCATTTGTTTAGATTTCTTTTACTTTTGTAAAGTGTGTTTTGTAGTTGTATCTTTGTCTTAACAGTGTTTTGGTAGATTCATTCTGAAATAGTCATTTTGTAGTTATTTTGAATAGGAATTTTCTTACAATTTCTTCATGGTTTTTCTGAGAATTGTGTAGGAATGAGGATGATTTTTGTGTATTTCACTTTGGTTCTGCTACCTTGTTACAGCTGTTAGTCAACTCAGTTTCCTAGTTAAAATTCATTGGGATTTTCTAAGTACACTATTATGTCTTCTACAAAGAGGATTCATTTTTGGTTTTTTTGTTTCCTCTTTGCTGATGTTTATATAAAATATTTATTAAATGCTTACCACGTGACGAGCGCTGTTACAAATGCAAGTCAGCAAGACAAATCCTGTCCTCAAGGAGCTTGCATTCTAAGGAGGGAAACAGCACATATAGAGGTGCTGGAAATTGGGGAAGGGGGAAGGGGGGGGTTGAGGGAATCTGGTAAGGAGATGTCAGGAAAGTGGTTTAGAGGCCGGGGCCCTGTTAAGGTATAGTCAAATCTCAGAGCCAGAAAACCCAGGTTCTAGTGGGATGGAGTCAACAAGCATTTTTTAAGCCATTTACTGTATGGCAGGCACTATGCTGAGCCCTGGGAATACAAGGGAAAGCAAAAAAAAAAAATCCACAATTCCAGCCCTCAAGGAGTTCACATTCTAATAGGGGAGAAAACGTACAGAATATTATGTGATCTGAGACATATACAAAGTAAATTGCCGATCATCTAAGGGAAGGCTATTGCCTATCGAGGGGGCTTGCAGAAGGTAGGATTTGAGCTGAACTTGAAACTTGCAGGAGACGTAAGAGGTGGAAGTGAAGAGGGAGAGCATTCTAGGTATGGGGGACAACCAGTGAAAAGACATGGATTTGGGATATGGAATAGCTCTGGTAAGAAGGCCAGTATAGCTAGATCAAGCATATGTGGAGAAGAGTAAGTGTAAGAAGACTGAAAAAGAGAGGAGGAAGGGGCTAGGGTATGAAGGGCTTTAAAAGCCAAATAGAAGATTTTGTATTCATTTTTTTATATTTCAGTTTTCCTAAGGCACTACTCCAACCATGTCACATCCCCCATCCCACCCAATTCCAGGATCAAATAGAAAATGCTCTGTTTGGCACTCAGAGCCCCTCCATGACTTGCCCCCTCCTTCCTTTCCAGTCTTCTTACACCTTACTTCCCAGTATGTGTGTCTCCTTCAGTGACACTGGCTTCCTGGCTGTGCCACGAATAAGACCTTCTATCTGACATTCTCTCCGGCTGCCCCTCATACCGGGCACACTTTCCCTCTTCTGCTCTTCTTGTTGTTCGCTCGTTTCAGTCGTGTCCAACTCAGTTCTTCAAGACCCCATTTGGGGTTTTCTTGGTAGAGATACTGGAGGGGTTGGCCATTTCCTTCTCCAGCTCATTTTACAGATGAGGGAACTAAGGCAAACAGGGTTAAGTGACTTGCCCACGGTCACGTAGCTAGGAAGTGTTTGAGGCCAGATTTGGCCTCATGGAGATGATTTTTCATGATTCTAAGTCCAGTGCTCTACCTACTTCCTTGGGCTTATGTAGTTAGTAAGCGTCTGAGGCTGACCCCAGGCTTGGCACTCTATCCATTGTGCTGCTTAGCTGCTCACTGACTTCCCTGGCTTTGTTTAAGTACCAGCTAAAATTCCACCTTCCACAGGAAGCCTTTCCTAACTCCTCTTAATTCTGTTGCCTTCCCTGTGTTAATTCCTATTTATTCTGTATGGAACTCGTTTGGATGTATTTATTTGCTTGTTGTCTCTGTCTTTAGATTGTGAGCTGCTTGAGGGCAGCAACTTTTTGCCTCTTCTTGTATCCCTAGGACTTAGCCCAGTGCCTGACACACAGTGCAGGTTTGACTGCCTGGATGTTCTTGTTTTGCATCTTCTGTGTCCTTTCATTTCGTTATTTCCTTTGTGGTGCTGCATTTTTTTGTTCCCATTCAGTCGTGTTTGGTATGTAATTTTCTCTTGCACTACTCATTTCTCAAGTGTTGGGTTAGATTTGCTATTTTTTTGCTCCAAGTGCTAATTTCTGGGGGGGGTTTTGTTTATAGTTTCACTTTATTTATTGATCGCTTCTTTGAACTATTCTAGAGGTTCTTGGAATTTGCTCTATTGTTATTTCAGGAGGCTTTGCAGAAACTTGTGTTATCTTACCTTCCTTTACCTTCCTTGAAATTGTATTTAAATTAAAAATTCTGAACTTAAATACCAAATGAGATGATAGAGAGTTTCTGTGGTGAACGTGAGCGATCATAGGCAGAAGACCAGATTGCTGTTAGAAGAAAGTGAGGAAGACTAAGACCTGTGGGCCATTGGGTAGTCGCTTCTGGAGAGCCATGGATGAGTCACCTCCAAAGAGTGTGCAGGGATGGCCTGAGGGCTGCGTCATGGAAGCATAGTTTTTGATTGATGAGACCGCAGACCCAGCTGGGGGAAGAAGGCTGCCCGACGGCCACCTTCCCAGAATTCTCCGACGGATTTTTCTAGAGGCCCTCTTTTTACTTGCCAGTCTGAAACTTGAACTAGGCTCGGTGTTTTTGAAGTTGCGTGATTTGGGTCCTTTTCCCAGCTCTGCCTCTTACTAGCTATGTGACATTGAGCAAGTCTCACACATCACCAAAACCAAACTGAGGATCTTTTCCCCCAGTCTGTTTCTCTTCTGATTTCCCAAGTTCCGCCATGGTCACAACCGTTCTTAGGCTGTCTGGTTTGTAACCACGGAGCCATCCCTTACTTCTCACTCTCCCTCAGCCTGCAGATTCAGCAGTTGCCAAAGCTTGTCCTTTCTACCTCCATAATGGCTCCTAGTTCAGGCACCTAACAGAAGGCATCAGGGTGGCACAGTGAATGGATGGAGTAAAGTCAGGAAGACCTGAGTTCAGATCCTGCCTCAGATACTGAACAGCTGTGTGACTCTGGGCAAGTCACTTCACCTGTGTTTGCCTCAGTTTTCTCATCCATAAAATGGAGGTAATAATGGCACCTGCCTCTCAGGATTGTTGTCAGGGTCAAATGAGTTCATTGTAAAGTGCTTAGCAAAGTGCCTAGCACTTAGGAATTGCTGAATAAATCCCTCCTTCTTCCACGCTCTTCTCTCTAGTCCATCCCACACACACCATTATGTTACTCAGTCAGTGTCATTGGTTTGCGCCCCTTCCCAGCCTCATCACACTTTCCTCCTCTTACTTAGCAGTGCGGTCAGGCTGCCTCTTTTGCTGCTGTTCCTCACACGTGGCATTCTGTGCTGGGCGCTTGATAGACGCTCTTAATTAATTGATTAATACGCAGAGTGCGTAAAGCAAAGCAAAACAGTAAACCTGGAAAAAAGGAGGAGTCTCTGCCCCACAGAGCTTCCCTTCTCTTAGCGGATCCAGCGGGTCAATAGTTGAGTGGCTACAAGGTCATTGGGAAAAGTAGAAAGTCCCGTCAAAGTGATTGATAATGGAAAGATTTTAGCCAGTGAAATGAAAAGTAGGAGTCTTCATGTAAACCGCAGTTACGTTGCTTGTGATACAACTGCAGACGTGAGTAACCTGACGGTTTGGAAAATGTGTTTGAGTGTTCCAGTGTTATTGAATGGGATTAAAAGTTACAAATGATTCAGTATAGGAATAAACTATAAGAAGTGTAGTGTATGGGGCCACTTTTGTGCCTCATAGTAACACTCCACTCCTCATTCCTATTGATGACAGTAATTGTTTTGTTTCTCTAAAGCAGAGGTGTCAGAATTCAAATAGACCTAGGGCCACCCAGCCTTACTTAAGAATCCCTGCGGGCTGCATATTGACCTAGAAGGCTACATAGTAACATTTTTATGTCCTTTTTGTTAATTTTGTTAAATATTTCCCAATTACATTTTAATCTGGTTTGGGCTGCACTTGAGTGTTGCTGCTGACCATGTTTAATAGCTTGGCTCTAAAATAACCGATGCCTTCCAGTTTCCAGTTACTAGCAGGTGACTGTGACTGTCTCCCTAGTCTGTTCCAGAACCCAGTTTTACTTTTTCATCATTGGCTTCTGCTTGAACTGCCCAGGTGTCCAAACTGCTAAGTTATTGACCATGTGGTGCCCTAGAAAGCAGCCTGTACCCAGGATTTATTGGTCTTGCAGGCTCCCAGCAGGAAGTGTGTACTTGGGGTTGTTGTGTGGGTTAGTCTTGGAGGTTCCAGAGCAGGACTTTTGAGCAGAAAGTCCATTTTGGCCTCTTTGAGAAAATAAAGGTCAAACTGGTATCTCTCTGGGTTGTGGAAGGTAAGAAGCTAAAATTCTTTCTTTGAATAATTTTTAGTATTGCTAAATGGAATTATACATTTAGTGAGATATTTTTTGGTTACTCTATTAAAGATGCAGTAATATATTTTAATTATGTTATCTCCCCAGTGAAAGCCTGCATGTCATGGAGCCCCAGTTATTCATGCTGTGACATTGTGGCTTTGCAGGGAGGAGGGAAAGATGAAGAGCTTTTATTGTGGGATGATAAATGAATGCCATCTAAGCCACTTCATTAGAATGATTTCCTTGTAACTTTTACAGAGTCTCTACTCTGGTTATTTCTGGAAGCATATTATTGTACACCTTTACCATTCATGGGACCCTGGTTTGCTAGATGGGCTTTTACTTATCCTAATGCTCATTGGAGGGTACTCAGGACCCCATTCTGACTGACCTTTAAGTGCATGATGACTTTGAAGAGTTGGCTTTCTGTATTACAAATTCTTGTCTCTCACCACATTTCCATGAGCTTGAACCTGTTTAAAAATGTCTTATTTTAAAAAATGAAATTGGGCACTTTAGGGTTTTTTTTTAAATGATTAATGAATCTGCTTAATGAAAATTAAGGGGTGGGGTGTTTCTGGCTGGGATCTGACTCTTCAAGGCAGCCTCACATGGTGTCTGTAGTCCAATTTTGTGTGTCAAAAACCTTTACCTTGAAGCCTGACTTGGACACCTGAGCTGCTCTTGAATTCTGAGGATGATAGTATACTCAGAAACTTTACTGGAGGCAAGGCCAGAGAAGCATGAGCCAACAGGGATCTCGGCCTGGCCTAGGAGACAGAAGACTGATACTCAAGCCCTGCCTCAGCTGCTTAGTAGCCCAGTGGTCAGAGCAAGAAAGGCACTTCCTAGAGACCCAGGAAAATGCTACCAGGTTGTTTGTCACTGACCAATGAGCTGTGGATCACTCATCTGTACCAGCAGAGAATGTTTGTGATGGTTTTGTTCAGTAGTGTCCCACTCTTTGTGACCTTATTTGGAGTTTTCTTGGCATAGATACTGGAGTAGTTTGCCATTTCCTTCTCTAGCTCATTTTACAGATGAGAAACTGAGGCTAACAGGGTTAAGTGACTTGCGCAGCATCACACATCAAGGAAGTGTATGAGGCTGGATTTGAACTCAGAAAGAACTGTCCACTCTGCCACCTGGCTGCATTAGGATTTCCCCACACTGATGAAATCACAGGTCCTGCCCCTATCCCCCCCAAAAAACCCCCTACAAGAAGCATTAGGCCACACATAATGTAATGCAAGGAGAATAGTTAACATTATTGGATTTTAAATGAAATATTTTTACATTGTTTCAAAAATACCAAATTAAACTTGTTATTTGTATGTCTCCAGAAAGTAACTTTGTAGGGTTTTGAAATATGTTTGTCACAGGACCAAAGAACACAATGCTTCGGCTAGCTGTCAAATTTTTCCCGCCTGACCCTGGACAGTTGCAAGAAGAGTACACAAGGTAAAGCAGCTATAACTTACACGTTTGAAAACGAAAATGAGAAGTGTCCATTGGTTCTGGGAGCAGAATGAGTAACTGGGACTCATTAGAAAGCCAGTTATATAAGACTTTGAGCCAAGGGTTTATGCTGCAAATGTCTATGAAAATAAAGTGAAAGTATTAGACAGTGAGATGTTAGGGCTGGGCTAAAACTCTCTTTTCAGATGCCTTCACTGATAAATTCAGATCATTTTAGAGGATATTTGTAATTGGAAAGACCTAGTGCATCTGTGCAGAGAGAGGTAATATGCCTGATGAATATGTCTTATTTTTACAGCATGATGCTCTTAAAATTTAAAAGGAAGGCGGAACCTTGGCCTGTGAATTAGACTCCCCAAGTTTTTGGCCTGTTCTTGCCTTGTATTCTTGCTGGAGTCCTTAGGGATCATATCTTCCTGGGTCTCAGTTTTCCACCTAACCTAACTAAACAAAAGGATTGAACTAAAAAAATCTATATAGATCTTTTATCACACTGTAGAGGCTGTTTGAAAAGACCCAATTGAAGTTTTCTGTGGTGCCTTTGTGTAGCTTCTCTTGTATCAGATGGTGGGATTTACAGTCATGCAAAGGCTTAACTGTAAAGCCTGAGAACTCTGGTTTTGGCAATGTAACCCTGTAACTCTGCTTTCATTGGTTCATTGATTAACAAGATGGCTGGGGGATATTTCTGATTAGAAAAATAATATGTAAAAACATAGGATTAGATATTCATAGAATTGGTATTAAATTGTCTTGAAAAATAAATATTAATAAGAATTCCAGTCAGGTGATGTTGATATTTTTTTAAACTGTCAGAACTGGCCTATAACATCACAGTTTGGACTGCCTTCCTCCCATGTGGTCATTGTTATTTTGAGTGTTTTCTGTGACCCAGAACACCCCCTTAGCATGGCAGAATGAAAGACTCAGTATGGTACAGTGGGGAAAGTAGCAACTCCCCTTCTAGGCCGAGCATATTTACCCAAACTTTGCCATCCTAAAATAAGGAGAGGTTTAGAATTGGTCTGCATAATGTTGAAAAAATCAAAGGGCTGCAAGAAGCTGTTTGCTATCTGAAGATACTAATCCCCATTAAAGTGAGACCTCATTGAGGACAGGGACTGTCTTTTGCCATACTTTGTGTCCCCAGTGCTAAGCCCAGCACCTGGCAGGTGCTTGATAAATATTAGTTGACTGGCTAAGCTAGGCCCTGTTTATTTTGGGTGATCTTTGCCGTTTAATACTGGTGGAAAATGCCGTCAAATTCTCCTAGGAAATGTAATCAGCCCTCATGACTCTTCTGGATTCTTTAAGTTGTCCAGTTGTGTTCTTGGAGCCTGAAATTTCCTTGTAGCTTCAAGTTAGAAAAAGTTTATGTTTGTTTCTCCTTTTCAGAATGATTGTATTGTTAATAATGTGGTGTTAGTGGAAAGAACAGTTATGTTCTAGTCCATGTGTTGTTTTTCTCAAGGATTAATAATTCATATTCTATCTTTTAAAAGCTATGAGGAATTAAGATAAAGATTAATGTGAATAAAGGCAATTATTTCTTTTAAGGTGATTAAAATAATATAACATTTGGAGCTAAACCTTGTTCTAGGGACCCAGTGCAAAATGTATGTTTGAATACAGTGAAAATTGTGACCCTGAATTTATTGCCTAGAAGAATATATAGCTGTGGATTTGGTGGAAGGGGCAGCAGATGATGCTAGGAGCCTCCTCTCTTGTCCCCGTAGGGCTTTCTAGGGGAAGGGGCAGCTATCAGCCACACTGGATACAGAGAATCTAGTTCAGAAGGTGATGACTGTACTGTTGAAGTCAGCGCTACCATCCAGTTCTAGAGTAGGGCTTGGGCACCTTTGCTTGATATTGCTGCCAATGTGGGTACGATTTTCTATGTGCAGTGGAAGTCCACACTAGTTTCTAAACCTGCCCCCACGTCTGAGTGTGCATGGATGCCAGCAAGGCCGATTGTCTGGCTGATGCGACTCAGCCTGGCCCAGTTTATTTCCAGTTTTTCTCTGATTGGTGGGTGCTTGTTTGTGGCATTGGCTCTCTTGGGCACTCAGTGACAGCTCATTTGGCTCAGGGTCAGCTGCCACATCCATCGCTGAGGGCCCTTCCTTACTGTCACTCCCCCAGGAGCAATGGATGCCTTGCCTTCGATGGGATTCAAAGTTTGTATCTAACAGTAACCCTGAACATCCTCTTTCTTTAGATATTTGTTTGCCTTGCAAATCAAGAGAGACTTGGTGGAGGAACGACTGCCCTGCAGTGACAACACAGCTGCTCTCCTCACTTCTCATCTCTTGCAGTGTTAGTATCTCTCCCCTCACCAAGCCCATGTGGAAGCTCCTGGAAAGTGTCTCCCAGGCATGTCTGCACCTGGAAAGCAGAAGGGGTACAATATGTGGATAATAATGTAATGCTGCTGGTTGGTTTAGAACTTTCAGATTCTCTGAGGAGCCCATTAGTACAATGGAACTGCCTGGGGCAGGAATTTTTGTGTGGGACCTGGGGACTTGAAACTCTCTGATGCACTCAGCTCTACGGGTTTCACTTTCTTTTAAAACTATATTTTAGAAGTGTAACACTTCACTAGGCATATACATTCAACCTCATAAAAATCAGGTTGTGATCCAAAGAGGTAGCACGTTTTGAAAGAGGTGGCCCCACATTCTGGAGTTATGGTCACCTTGAATGACTTTAGTGAAGCAAAGCATAATAAACCCAAGGGGGAGAGGGAAAGTCAGTGTTTCTTCAAATCTTGGTACAAGTAGAAAGCAGGAACTTCATCAGAAATAACAGGTATTTCAAAATCAAATTTGGTTGTAAAATAAAAGGGAGGGAAAAAACTCTGAAAAGTAGAGAAACAATTGAAAAATACTTGTGAGAATAATCCAGTTTTAAAAGAATGATAAAGATGTAAATCTGAGGTTCTGAGTCAGAGTAAAACAAAACTGATTTCTGTAGGTTGAAAGCAAAGAGGGAGAAGTTTGGGAGAAAGGATAGGGAAACTTCCCTTGTCGCACACCACCATGTATAGCAGAGGTTCTCTGATACCGTTGACATCCCCATTCCTGTCTTATGGACCTCTGTGCTTTGGTGAGGAGCTAGCAGAGGCTTGCCATTATTTTGAGTTGGGAAGGACAGCTGAAGCTGACCAAAAACAAACAGAAGAAATCTGTGCTAGGGACAGCCCAATTTTAAAGACATTCAGAGGATCTGTTTTCAAATTGGATTCGTTTAATTAAACATTGATTAAGAACCTACTGTGTGCCGGGGCAGCTAGGTGGTGCAGTAGATAGAGCTCCAGCCTTGGAGTCGGGAGGACCTGAGTTCAAATCCAGTCTCCGACCACACACTTGACCCTTACTAGCTGTGTGACCCTGGGCAAGTCACTTAACCCCAATTGCCCCACTAAAAAATAAATAAATAAATAAATAAATGAAAAGAGCCTGCTATGTGCAAAGCCTTGGGATTACAAAGGTAAAAATTATGTAATCCCTGCCCTTACATAGCTTGCATTCTACTGGGAGGATAAAACATATAGAGAGAAATAGGAAAGCAAAATAAATGCAAAGTAACTTCAAGAGGAGGGTGGGAAGAGTGCCAACCACTGGGAAAGTCAAGAAAGCTTCTTTAGGCAGAAGTGTCAGGGGCTTCAAAGTCATTGCCAAGACAGGTTTTGGTTTAGCTTCACCTTTCCTTGATGCTTTGACTAATGAAATGAGAAATTCTGACTCTCTAAGGGTTATTTTGACGAACTGGGCTTTTGGGATGGGGCAGAGGGTTGTGTTGTTTCAGAAATGTCTGTGTGCTGCATTGAAGCCTTTTAGCCCTTTGTTGGGCATACGTTCTGTCTCCTGTTGGTTTTTTTTCTGACTTTACAGTTCACTGTTTTTGAAAAAACTTAAACAAGTTGTTTTGTTGGTTTTACCTCAGCTGAGATAGGGGATTATGAAGAAACTGCAGACCGAGAACATCTTCAGATAAGTCAATATGTGCCAAATCAAGAACATATTCAAGAGAAGATAATAGAATACCATCGAAAACACATGTAAGCAAAAGCAGGTTTTGATTTTTTAACATTACTATTACATTTATTAAGTGAGCGCAGGAGAGGGGGACTAGTGGGGTGGCAAGTTGTTTACATGGTCATAATCTGTATTGGAAGTCAGGGTTCAATCTGGGGGGTGAAGCAGGAAGTGAATAATATAAAGAAAAAAGTCAGTAAAGAATCAGTAAGCATTTATTAAGCTCCTACTACGCGCCAGGCCCTGCCCACAAGTGATGTGAGGAGGTGAGAGTTGTGGCTTGATTTCATCAGCTTGCAGAATGTTGAGTTTCTGGAGATGAAGAAGTCCAGGAAATGAGGAAGAGAATGGCCTGGAGGCTCTCCTTGCACAGATCCTCTTAGGGGCCGCAAGGGTGAACATCCACACCAGAAGGGGAGGAAGCTGAGGCTTGCGGAGTGGGCCACCCAGCTCCAGAAGCTCTAACTCTTTGACCACACTGCTTTAATAAAAATCACCTGTGCTGAATGGGCATTTGTAGTCACTCCTGATGTGTCCATGAATTGAGCCTTATTTTTGTGGCTCGCTAAATGGAAAGGTTTAAGCCTTTTCGTGTAATGTCACCCTCTCTTCAGTTGAGTATTGCTGTGTAGTAGAGAATAAATGAATAAATGAAAAAAAAGCATTTCTTAAGCACGTATTCTGTGCCAAACAGTCTCTGCTCTCAAAAAGGTCCCACTCTCACTGGGAGGGACAACACTCACTGTTCAGCTGTAGGCTAACAGACCCCAAAGTTTTCAGGTGTATGGCCGGGCAGGGCTCTTTGAGGTCCATCTGGAGGCCACATGACTTTGCCTGGGAGGGTTGGGGCAATCCAGGGCGATAAGACCTGGGCATTCTCCTCACTAGAATGCCTTGCTCTCTGCACATCTCAGCAATGTCTCTCCCTCTTTCCTCTCCCCACCTTGGAGCCCAGGAACCAAAGGGGAGTTTGTATAAAGTTATAGTAGCACCCCAGTTATCTTTGAAGCTTCTGGTGGCAGTGGTCCTAGCTCAGCTATAGAGGGAGGGTCTGGCAGGAGAAGTGTGCTAAGGAGACTAGAGGGAGGAGTCAGAATTAGGGTTAGTGCTGGGCACAGCCACCTGGAGGAGGCAGGGACCCTTGGGGGGTGGGGGGAGTGGTGACCAGCATCAAGCGAGCTGTCCTTTGGAGGAACTGGCCCTCAGTGGAAGAGCAGAAGGGACACTGTCCTTGCCTCGAAGGGAGTCTGAAGAAAAAGGAAATCTGAAGATTGCCAGCATCCTCTTCTTTGGTGGGACTGAGAATTCTCTTCAAGGTCTCAGAAATAGAAGATTTGTCCTTATTTGGGACAAGGGGAAGGGAGGGGAGCAGTGGCTTTTTTTCGAGAAGAAACTTTGGTTAAGATCAGATTCATTTTAACAGCTTTCAATGCTGCTGGAATTTGAGACAGTGAATGCTTTAAAATGTATCCACATTAGAGCATCACCCTCTGTGCCCAGAGTGTGTGCCCGCCACTTCTCCAGCTTGTCTAGTTTTTAACTGCCCTTCTAAGATCTGAACTTTGCCAGCCGGGCAGCACCCCATTATGGTCTTAGAAAGACCCACGCAAATCCGGGTGTATAGTTTATATTTTTAGCTCCTCCTCAGTTTGTATGGTTCCTCTTTTACAAGGAAGACATTCCCCCCTTCATCTTGTGGAGTCTCATTTCTGATATTTCTTGAAGTTTTCCACTTGGTCACGCCAACACTCTCTCCTTTTTCAGTCAAGACAGCCTGTAGCCAGGCCCTGATGGAGAAGGGCATTTTCTTTGGCATCACCAGGCTCGGCGGGATCCTCAAGGTTATAGAAATAACTTCCCAGCAGGCCATTTGATATAATAACATTTCTTCCGCTCTTGGCTGCCCACAAGTGGGTGAAGATGGTTAATAATCAAGGATGAAATGGGGGGAAATAGGTGCTGTCTGTATCTTGTTTGTACCCAGTTGTTTGCAGATTGTCTCTCCCATGAGATTGGGTTCTTGTTGTTGTTTTTTGGTTGTTTTTGTTTTGTTTTGTTTTGTTTTTGGTATCCCCTGCACTTAGCCCAGTACCTGGAACATAGTAGGCACTTAATGAACATTTATTGACTGAGGAATGATTGGAGATATTCAGTAGAGGGAAGGCAGGAGCATTAAGGAGAATCAGGAAATACTTCACAGAAGACAGTATTTTAGCTGGGAAGGGAAGGAAGCCTTGGAGGGAAGCCAGGAGGTGGAGGGGAGGAGGGAGAAGCCTCCTCTGCGTGGCAGAATAGCCACTGAATACATGCCGAATCTGGAGATGGAGGCTAGTGTCCTTACTGCTCAGTACATGGGAGGAAGGGAGGGAGGTATGAAGAGACTGGAAAAGTAGGAGGAAGGCCAGGTGGTGAGAGCTCTGAATGCCAGGCAGAGTATTTCGTGTTTGATCCTGGAGGCTCCCAGCAGCCTGGAGTGTAGAGCCAGGGAGCAGCCTGCTCAGATCCTTCAGGACAGTGAGCTTTGTTCGGCTTGGCCCTTGTACTGTGGTGTAGTGCGTGCTCCCCAAGGGCCATACAGACAGCACTGTGGGATTGGCTTGCTGGTGTGCCGCAGTATGGATGGGAGAAATTACTTTTCCCTAGGAGGGGACCGCTTAATTGCTTATTTTTAGAAGGCAGTGTTTGTCAGTTATGTATGTAACGTGACTTCTAGAAAGATTACTGGGTGGTTAATCCATTCTTAGTGAGCTTTTGAAACAGGGTAATAATGCCTCCTGTCAGAACATTTCCTCACTTTCTGTGTAAGTTTTTTTGTTAATTTTGTCAGTCATCTACAAACATCCTGAACATTTAGTAACTCCATAGATGACATTTACCAAGCAAGAAATTTACTATAGAGTGGAAGGTAATTTAGATCATTGTAGTCAGCTAGGGTTCAAGTAAATCTAATCAGTCTGTAGCTAGTTGCTTAAATAGAAAACCATGGTATTTCCTGAAAAATTATGGAAGACTCTGACCCTATTAGAAATAGGTTGTCTCCGGGGCAGCTAGGTGGCGCAGTGGATAGAGTACCAGATCCGGCCTCAGACCAAACACTTGGCACTTACTAGCTGTGTGACCCTGGGCAAGTCACTTAACCCCAGTTGCCTAAAAAAAAAAAAAAGAAAAGAAAAGAAATAGGTTGTTTCTAATGTTGTACTAAAAATTGCACTCATGTGATTTTCCATTAAAGGGGCCAAACACCTGCTGAGTCAGATTTCCAGGTACTTGAAATTGCTAGGAAGTTAGAGATGTACGGAATCAAGTTTCACCTGGCCTCTGATCGAGAGGGGACCAAAATTCACCTTGCTGTTTCTCACATGGGCGTACTTGTATTCCAGGTAGGTTTCATAGAGAGAGGGTGTTTTATGATCTAAAAAAAAATCAACTTGTCATCTTCAAGTCTGATTTCTTTCTGTGTCTCATAGTTATATGTTTTAAGTTTTTAAAAATTTGGTTGAAGTTCATATAATTTAAGAGTTCAGATCAATGTCAAAGATCAACTAGTCCAGCTGCTTACCAGTGTAGGAATTTTTTTGAGCATTTCTGACCTGTAGCCTCTGCCTGAGCACTTCTGAACACAAGCAGCCCTAAATGTGTTTGCAAATTCATAGTTTATATTTGAATAAAAATCTGCCTGCCAGTTAGTTCCCCTAGCTCAAGTCAGGTCCTGGTAATAAATGTTAACAAGTATTTAGTAAGTGTTCACACATGGTAGGCCTCAGTTCTGATTTGGGGGAACAAGAGAAACTCTGTCTACCATCTTCTATCTGATGGCTCTTCAGCTGCTGTTGGAGGCTATCAGAATTGCTCCCAGCTAAGTGGGCCTAGCCTCTTCAGCCATTTCTTGGGTGACATCATTCCTGGCTTTTCATCTTCATCATCACTGTGTTCTTCATTTGTCAGTATCTACTGTAAAATGTTGCACTCATTTCAAGGTGATCTTTTCACATTATGTAGGACTGTAACTCTCTGGGATCTGGACCTTGTGCTTCTATCACTGAAGCACAAGATTGTGTCAGTATTTTACAGTCATTTTATTGTGGTCACCTCAAATCCCTGGTCTTTTTCATATGAATTACTGCCCTGTACCTGTGTAATTGATTGTTTGAGTTTATATTTGGGACTTTATATTTATCCTGATGAAATTTCATTTCATAGGTTTGGGCCTCGCGAGGTTCAGCCTGTCAAAATCAGTTTGCAGGCTGAACTTCACAGGTTGATTTTATCCTGTTCCTGAGTATACAAGACTGTTGTCCTTTCTTCCTGAAGGTGAAGTTGCTGAGCTGCACTTGACCGTATACGTTGTTTGGCATGCTCATTTCCCACTTATGGCATATTCTGTTTAGCACATGAATATAGGATTGGTTTACAATAGATATCTCCTTAACAGTTAAAAGTAGAAACACAAATTGAGTTGTGACCAGAAGTGATTTAAACATCTCCTCAGAAAGATCAAGAAAAGTAATTTGAACAAGACAACCTTGGAAAATTGGGGACCAAAAGGAATGGTAGTGAATGAATCTGGATTGTAAAAGCTTTGACGCTTTGCTCCCAATCAGAGACTCTGAGCCATAGCTCAGGGACCACAAATGTTTATTTTGGTCATTCTCTCTTCTAAACCATTCGATTTCTACCAGTTACCCCTTTTGATTTCGGGTAGAAGTTTAGACCTGGAACTAGTAATTTTCCATTTTTAAAAAAGAGAGAAATGGCAGCAAAGCCAGCAGCTGGAAATTATTTCCATGGGGTCCCCTGACTGTTTTGGCAGCTCACTTAGGCGCTCCACCTCCTGGCTTCTGCTCTCTGCCAGCCCTCTAGCATCCTGCCCGAGGACCTTCCCAGCCTGGGGGCCCAGAGCTCCCGGAATACAGGCTTTAAAAGCACAGTCCATTAACACCCTCAGGGGCCACATGCCTTCAGCCAGGAAGCATTTCGTGGCTCAGTGGTCAAGCATCAGGTGACCGGCTGGGAGGCTCTTTTAGCTTCTCATCTCAGTTTCTTCAGTGACCAAAGGCTTCTAGAAGTCACGCCAGGCTTTCAGTCTTCCTCTCTCTATATATATATATGCACATGCACAGGAAACACACAACTTGAGCTGCTGCTTCACCTCCCTGTCATTATGACAGAGAATCAGTAATAATGATGACTGTAAAGTGCATTAGTTAAAGGGCCAAGGAGTGTCTTAGACTCCAGAGACCCCTTGAAAACTGCCTTTCCCACACGGGCTGCTGTCCCTGCCTCTTAGTGACTCTCAGGGCTCAGTCTCCTGGCATGTAAAACTTGCAGAGGGCATTTTCCTTAAAATAGGATGAGCCCCCAGGGAAAGTGGGCTTTATTTCCTAGGTCCCCAAAAGGTAAGGTAAATAAACATCATCAGCATATTTTATGATTGGATGTAAAATTTTAACGTTGGCAAGCACGTGCTAAATATTAAGTTCTGCCCGGATGCAACGTAGTAGTAGTCATCAATCATAAGCCACTTCACTGGAGAGTCAGTGCTTTTCCTTGCCTCTAAAAACTACGTACAATATTGATTGGTTAAAACATGGTTACTTAAGCCTGAATATTACACCTTCCCAATTCTCTTTCACCCATAAAGCCCACTCCTTTATTTTAGTACCTAGCCACTCCATCCCTGTCACCCCTACTCAGAGAGTTCACCTTTCATACATGTGTGGTTATATTTGCCTTACAGTTCCTGAGTTTCTTAACAGGTCAGCCTGGTCTTAATCAAGCTACTGCTTTTCATATCTTTGTATTTATGTATTACAGATATTCTATATGTATACAGAGCCTTGTCAAAAGATTTGAGTTACAAGGGGAAATCTCTAGTACACAGAATTAGGCAGTTGAAGATTTTTTAAAAATCTGTGATTTGGTACATTTTGTATTTATTGTCTGTCTGATTTGTAAAATTGTATCAGGTATTGGACTGATGAGAGAGGGAGAGACTCTGTGTGTGTGTGTGTGTGTGTGTGTGTGTGTGTGTGTGTGTGTGTGTTAGGGAGACTGCTTCTATAATAGCAAATGTGTTGTTAAATATTTTGTTTTTTAAAATACAGGGGAACACCAAAATTAACACCTTCAATTGGTCAAAAGTCCGTAAACTGAGTTTTAAGAGGAAAAGATTTCTTATTAAACTTCACCCAGAAGTTCACGTAAGTGTTACCACTATATAACCTCTTCATCTCACCCTTTTCTTTATAATCCAGAAAATTTATTTTGTTGGAATCTCTTTTTCAAAAAAAAAAAAAAAAAGAGTTTTGTATGGCAATCTTCTTGCCTGATGCATGACCTACCCTTTGGGACAAGACAGATCTTCAGAATCCCTTAGAGACTTAGAAGTGAAGGGACTGTCCACATTCTCTAGTATAATTCCTCCTCCTGTAGATAAGGAGATTGAGACATGGAGGTTCAGAGAATTGACTAGGTCACACCTAGCATTGAGGCTTTGGTCCAGAATGGTCCAAAAAGTCTTCTTACAGGTAGAATCCGGGCGGGCCCTTTGTCTGTGCACTTGTGATGGAGAAATTGATCTTTATTGTAGATTAGAGGGGACTTGATGGGAAAGCCAGCATTTTGTTCATTCGTCAGAGGCCTTAACAACTGTTAAGCTTCCCCTTTCCAAGGGCATTCGACTACTAGTCCTGCTGTTTAGAGGAAAGTCACACACTTGAAAAGGTTCCCCAGAAGTACGGTGTCTGTGGGAGTGCTCCAGATCTGTTGTCGAGCAGTCGGCCAGTAGAGAGCCCCTTAGGAAACCCAAAAGAGCATGAGGGTTACAGCAAAACAGCAAATGTCCTTTTTCTCACTAAGTGAAAAACAAAATGAGGATGCTGTTTTTCTTAGGGTTATTGCCACGGTAGAGAGAGAATGAGGAGGAATTGTAAATTAATTTATAAAAAAAACCCTGCATTTTATTTCAGGGCCATATTTATAGTTGCATTTAGCAAAGCTAACTCTAGTATCAGCATGGAGATTTTCAAAGGAGGCATTTGATTATTTCTCGCTGTCATCTCTTTTGCTGTGGTTTGTGTCTTGAAGTTACTTTCCTGTATGTTTAACCCTTTGTTCCTTAATGAATGACTTGAATCCTTGTGTTTTGTTTCCAGGGCCCATATCAGGATACGTTGGAATTTCTCTTGGGCAGTCGAGATGAGTGTAAGAACTTCTGGAAGATTTGTGTAGAATATCACACCTTTTTCAGACTTTTTGATCAGCCCAAGCCAAAAGCTAAAGCTGTCTTCTTCAGCCGAGGGTCTTCATTCAGATACAGGTAGTGGGTCTTATTGGCACTCTTTTCCTGAATTGCTGTAAGATACTAGGGAGATGTTTACTGAGAGAAAACAGTATTGCAAGTTAGCCTCCACATGTATATAAGACATGTGGCCGTGTAAAATAATACATAGTTAGTCACTGCACATTTGAGCTAAGATTTTAAAAAATGCTCTCACCAAGATGACAGAGAGGATCAAACTTGTTTCTTGTGAGGGAGGCTGGAAGGTGCTGGGAGAGCCTTGAATTGGAAACATTTGTTACTGTAAAGTGCTTGGAATTACTCATGTTCAACATCTGAACCTTGTCCACAGTGGGAGAACCCAAAAACAACTGGTGGACTATGTTAAAGACAGTGGGATCAAGAAAATGCCCTATGAAAGGTAAGCCCCGGTTGCTGGGTGACTGAAATGCATTGGCCTCATTTCTAAAAGCTGAAACTTAAATTCTTCCTGAGTTTTGTACAAAAGCAACTCATTGTGTAATGGAATGCCCCAGGAAGTGTTTCGTGAAACGTATCTTAGAGGGTTTCAGGACACTGAAGTCAGGACACAAAGGACTGAGGTGTTTCTTTTCAGACAGCAGAGGTGATTTTCTGGGTTTGGAGTCAACACTGACATATGCCCTCCCTAAGGCACAGCTCTGACTGGGTCATGTCACTGTCTTCCTGAAAAGGTCACCTCCGCTGGCTACTTCTAGGTCCTCCACTGTGGGGCTCCCCAGGCTGGGCGGACTCTCTGTGGCCCTTCTTGGCCTTTCTTCTTGTGTCTCTAAATCTTTGCTGTCCCCACCTTCTCCTTTGTCTGTGAGAACAGTAATGTTGATGGCTCAGCTTGGGGGCAATTGGCATGCGCATCACAGTCTTGGAGAGGTGCCTGATATCTATTGCCAAGAAAACCCCAAATGGGGTCTCGAAGAGTTGGACATGACTGAAAAACTTGCCCAGGGGCATACAGGGTCACATTTAATTAGCAAGTAAGTGTCTGAGACAGGATTTGAATTCAGGTCTTCCTGACTCGGCTAGCACCCCATCCATTGTGCCTTCTAACTGCCTGGAAATATTTTGTTGTTCAGTTGCAATCTACTCTTCATGACCCCATTTGGGGTTTTCTTGGCAAAGATACTGGAGTGATTTGCCGATTCCTGCTCAGGCTCACTTTACAGATGAGGAAACGGAGGCAAACAGGGTGAAATGACTTGCCCAGGGCCACACAGCTAGTAAGCATCTGAGGTCTGATTTGAACTTGGGTCCTCCTAACTCCAGACCCAGCACTCTATCCACTGAGTCTCCTGGTGCATTGCCTCTTGTGTCTTGGTTTTTTTTTTTTTAAAGAATCATTTTTGGTAGTCATAATCACTGAAGCTGAGAATTTGCTGTGTTTTCTGATAGTGTTTTTTCCCTTTGGTACAGTGGCTGGAGATCTGGCCTTAGAAGCAGGAAGACTTGAGCTTAAACCTTGTCTCTGACAGATTGACCTGGTGTGACCCTGGGCACAAGACTTGACTTGTCGGTGCTCCAGGCACCTCTCTAAGATCATGAAGCACATGCCCTACACCAGTTTTGCTTTTTTTTTTTTCCATTTCCCGCTAACATTGTCGGTTTTATTTTCCTGTGGATTTGTTAACAATCCGCATTTTAGTTTTTCATTTTCTACTTAGACTTCTACAGGCCTTTCGTGGTTGTTTGAGACAAGTAGGTAATGTGGTATCATTTGGAATGTGTTGAGAGTTTTTTCTTAATGGGTAATGTCTGTGTGCTTCCTTGAGTGAAATTGGTTGGCAAGAGGAAGAGGGTTCCTCCTTCTAATGATGTCTTCTTTGTTCTGCAGAAGGCACAGCAAGGCTAGAATCACTGCTCGAGCTTTGCATAAAGATTTGCCAAAGCAGGTGAGTCTGGCCGTGCTTTGTACATAGCCAGGCCAGTCTGGGCCTAGCTCATTGTCCTTATGCATCAATTCTAAGTGAAGTGTGTTGTCGGAGTAGAATTTTCGCCTTTTCAGAGAGTGGTGCTGCCTTTATACTTGGTTCGCCCATCACTTTTCTCGTCATCTCCATTCAGGTGTTGATGGGTAGCGTGGAGATTTCACATTGCGTTACCTCGTTTGAAGTCATCGCTTTTGACTTTAATTTCGTCAAAAGAGACTTTAAATGTGCTGTGGATACTTGCGATTTAGGCCCCGTTTGTTGTAAACTCGTGGAAAGCAACAAACTAAAGTGAACTTGAGACCCTCCAGTTTTTGCTTGACTTCACCTGTGGCCTGGCTAGTCTTTTGAAATCTTGGCAAGCAGGTCTTTGGTGACTTAGCAGAAATCACACCTGCTGCCTTCTGCCTGTGAGCCAGGAGCTCGCGTCAGCTAAGATGAAGGATATTTTTGTTCCCAACAGAGACGGCCCCCAGATCGAGGCATTTGCCTCCAAGATTTAATAGGCTACATTTCCTGGGATCAGGTCACTGCAAGTTTTTCCTGCAGGTGGATTTTCCCTTTCATTAGCCTAATTTGTCAGATAAAATGAAAGAATGTGACCAAAACCTGCCTGTAAACATGCTAGTTAGTGTATCTAATAGGAATAAAGTTGTAAGAGGAAAAAAGTTGCCGTCTTCAGTGTGATTGTTACATCAGTGAAGGTGCTGCCTTTGATATATTTGACAAACATTTCGTTTTCTGAAGGTAAAGAGGTAATTTTACTTGTTGCTTTCTGCAATTTTGATTCCCAGAGCATCTCATTTACCGAGGGCTTGAGACTTCCTGGTTCACCGAGTTCTACAAATGCCTCCTTTTATTCAGTCCCTACCTCTCCTGTGACCCCCGCGGACCTGTCCGTTTGCGTGGACAGCAACAGTTCCTTCCTGGCCTCCAAGGCACCCTCTGTGAAGAGCCCCGTAGCAGAAAAGAGCAGCATCACATCAGTTGAAGAAGCTGACAAGAACATGGTCCAACCGCACGGCTCTCCAATACTCCAGTCATTTCAAGGTGTTGGGTCTTGTAATGTTGCGAGAAATTACGGCTCCACTTGTCTGGGTGCCCAGCTAGGGGTGACTTCCGGCTAGCTCTAGACAGGGGAAGGGGGCTGCCTTATCCAAATGACAATGGTGAGGATGACTTGACCACAGGTGTCTTCATGTCCAACATTGAGTATCAATGTAACAAGCATGGCAGCAGGGCTGCCCCTGTTTTCACATTGACAAACTCCCAATTGCAGGTTTCAGAAGAATTTATTGATGATGACCCAGCCGAGATCTCCTTTTTTGCTGGAGGATCTGAGGCATTTTCCTATGCCTATGGTTGTTTAGCTTTGCAGGAAGGCCTTTCACCTAGACAGCGCCCCCACTCCCCATCTTCCCCTAGCATGGGGCTCTCTCAACACCTGGGCTCAGTCCAGGCCAGCCCAGACAGGTATTCGACAGAAGCAGTAGACATGAATTTGGAGGAGGATTTTGAATTTGAAGAAGGGAGTGATTTCAATGGCAATGAGCGCCCATCAGATACCTCAGAGTTATTTGAGGTAAAAGCCCGAGCCAGCAGAATGCAAAGCCTTTTGAGTCCCTCGGAAACGAGCTCCCTAATAAACCACCAGTCTGAGAGCAGCTCTCTCAATGTGCCACTGAACGGGGTCTCCTTGCTCACCCCTGGCTCGGCCAATCAGTCCGAAGCCAGTTCCATGGTCAACTTCCCAGCCTACTCGGTCCGCTCGGAGGGCAGCTCAGCCTTTCAGTTCTCTGATATCATTGACCAGTTAGAGCAGCTGAGCTGTCCTCCCACCACGACTGAGGACTCCAGCACCACCGAGACAGACTCCTGGGATTCAGACACTGAAGCCCCCATAGATGTCAGTCTCTTCTTCAGCAGCCCCTTTGCACAGATGCAGAGTGAGAGGCTTGCTTTTGATTTTCAGAATAATTTAAAGAATCTGACCCAGGAAGAGCTGACAGAAAAGATTCACATTGACCATTCATAGGCACTTTGAAAATGATCCCCGGCGTTCACAATTGCTCTTCACAGTTCATTAGAAGACATTCAAGGGGCTCAGGAACATGTAATGATTCGGATGTAGAAAATCATTTTGTTGGTGGCTGGTTCATCCTTTCTTGCCAGCCTCCTGGCATATTATCTTTATCTTTATCTTATTTGGGGAAATATTGAAGGTTTAGAACTTCCATATTAAATCCCATTGAAAGCTATGCACTAACTATCCATGTAAGTAGTAGTAGGGTGTGGAGAACACTACATTTAGACAGTCTCTGAGAAGAGAAGTTCCCTCTGTTAGTTCCTGTGGAGGCCAATGCATTCCAGCCTCGTCTAGTTTTACTTTTTCTCTATTTCACTTGGTGGGAATAAAAATGGTGCTGCAGCTGGACTTGGCCCTGGGTATCGTCACCTCTTGGTGACCTTCTGACACAGTCAGTGCTGCACACCAGCTGTGGAGCCTTTTCAGATGAGGGTTTTTCCAGATAGATAATAGATAATGAAGGACCTTTTTTTATTGTTAGGCTAATGCACTAACTTGAAGTTGCCACCCTGGATTCACAGTCTGGGTGGCAGCTTAGGAAAGGAGGAGCCTGTGCACAGAAAGCGTTTGGGGACTTTCCTGCAGAGCACCCAAAGGTGCATTTTGTTGAGTAGCTTGAGCTGCTGCTGCAGTAGTGCAGTGTGGGGAAACCTTACCAAATACACTCAGATCACGTTTGAAATGTCTGCCTGATTTGGCATTAATTAGGCACATGGGGCAAGCAGTGGCTGCAGGTAAAGTTGAGCCAAACACATCAAATGACTTTAGCCAGAAGCGTGCAGGTCCTGTAACACTGTAATCACAAGGGGGCTGTTCAATTCAAGTAGCTGCAAATAGCTTGGTAGATGTTTGGAAGAAGAATGGCCTGAGGCTCCTGTGTATTTCTTCCATAGTGGTTCCTGAAGGAATGAGAGTTTCTTTCAGGATGATGATGTAAGGTCATGGCAGCTGTTGGTAGTCATTTTCTGGGAGATGCCGTCCTAATTGGCGTAGTCTTGTTGTTTGGGGAGTCAAGGGAGCAAATCAAGTAGTTTTCACTTAGGAAACAGAATTTGTACATGAACATTTATGTACATTGCCCAGGCTGAAAGGGAGAGAGAGGTGCAGAGAGAGTTAGTGCCCACGTTTGAGGAGGCAGGCTGTCCCCCACGGTGCTTCAGGGATGGGGATGGTACACCAGGGAAAAGTATCTTCATAACATTTTGCTTGAGGAATTCAAATTTTAAGTTTCTGTCACTGTTTACAAATATTGACCCACATCCTTGGCAGAGAGCCAACTATTTAAACTCAAAATTGTAATACTGTGGTGACTTCCTTTATGTATTCAGAAGCAAGTTTAATTGTAACTTGGCCAATAGCATCTTTGGAGAGAAATTATTCTCCCTGAGAGCAGTGGGTTCTTAACTTTTTTTGTGTTGTGGACCCGTTGGGCTCTCTGGAAAAGCTTGTGGACCACTCTGCAGAGTTGTGTTTGTAAGTGCATAAAATAAAAGACATCATTTGATTCCAATAAAATTATTTTGGAATCCAGTTATCAAGATGTATTTTAAAAATTCGCAGACCCCTCCCCCTGCCCCTAGGTGTCAAAGGGTTTTGTGTGTTCTGATGTAAAACTAGTCACCATTCCAAAATACCCAGTGCTGTGACAAGCCTCCGAGGCGGTGCTATCTTCTCATTCCACGTCAGTTACTTTTCATAGAAATCTTTTCCTGGATGGAATTATTCTATTCAAGAATTGCTCAGGGTAAGCCACACTTTCTCCATCCTAAACTGTAGGAATTTTGCAGGGCTCCTCCCAAGGTCACAGTGTGGTTGAGTAGGAAGGCTTTTCCTGTTTGCAATTTGCTTCCAGCCATTTGAATGCAGTAGGATTGACCTTGCTTAATGTCATTCTCTGAGGCACTATGGATAGAAATTTAGAGGATATGGGAGAGTAATGCTTCTTGTGAAAGCTGCTGGTTGTTGGCAGCTTTCCCTCATCAGCATCATTGAGTCGAGAGACTCAGTGCCTTGGGTTTGTGTGAAGCGTGAGGTCACTCTGCCTCCCTATTTGTATCTCTGCCCCCTGGCCCGGCCCTGGCTGCTTCAGTGGTAGCACCGCTCGGTGTCTGTCTGCCCCTTGCTCTCCTCCCATTTGTCGGTGTATGTGTGGGGGTGGGGGTGCTCCCTCTCTTTGGACTGTTGAATGTGGATTTGTGTTAGGCTCACCCATACCTGTGGAGATGATAGGATGAATGTGGAACCTCATCTCAGCCAAGAGCTGGAGGAGGACAGTATTGATTGTAGGTGAGAGCTAAGGGATAATATCTAATGAAAGATTACTTATACCACTTCACTGTTTATTATTGTGTAACTCAAAACCAGCTCTTTTTGGAAAATATTTTTGGTAACAGATTGTGGAGTTGGAATAGCATCATTTTTAGCAAGTTTTTTATACTGCTGTTTATATACAGACACTTCTTCCTGTGGTGAGGGGATAAGGATTGATAAGTTGATAATTGATAAGATAAGTTGCCTCACTTATTGTGCCATTTGATGCTGTGACTTGACTTCAAACTTCTCAGAACATTATGTAATTAAATAGCCTCCACTCCCTCCTCCTACAGGAAGAGCGTGTGATTGTGGACCTTGTGTGGTCTGGGACCGCTTTCCTGAGCCGCCTTTTATTAAAGAGCACGTTAGACTACGTCTTAGTGGCTGTCAGACTTCAGCAGCTCCATAGTCACACTCAAACTGAAGGCGAAGATGGCCCTCAGGGTGACCAGTGAGCTTGCAGATTAGATCCAGTGTGCTGTTGAAGGAGCACAGGGAAAGTGGGCTTGGCATCCAGCACTGTCATGGTCCCTCCTTTATTTAGGTGGTCAGCACAATAGGTACATTCTGTCTTAGAGGGCTTTACTTATGGTGCTGTTAAATATGTCCAGAGTTATTTTTCAGCGTATAAATTGCTATTTGGAATTTCTTCCTAAAAATGCGCATTTGGACTGAATATTTGCGTTCAGCTTTGCCCAAAGCATAATTGCTTGGCATATTAGATGAAAATGAGATCATAGGGGATATTGCTTCACAAACTGAGGTCTAAGTATTCTCTGAAATCAGTAGTGCCTTTTGCAGCTGTTTCAGACTTTTCCGAATTAGTTTTAAAAGTAGCTCTGTTGCAAAATCTTAGCTAACGGAGCTTTTGCTTAATGCCAGATGAAGGCCAAGTAAGTGCCCATCTGTCATCGTGCTCTTCCATGCTCCTCCTCCTTTTGTAGCTCTGCTTTTAGGGTCTCTTGGAAAATAACGTGGTTTGATTCACATACGTGGCACAGAGTCATCCAGACACCCGGCCCATATACTGTCAGCCTTCAAGGAGCTGTTCTTTGCTCCCCAGCTCCTGCAGAATAGCTCAATAATGCATTTTTGTCACTGAGCCTTTTTCATTAGGTGGATCTGTGCTCTAATCAGAGGTTGTAGTGACGTTTATTGTGGGATGCCTCTTGTGTTCTGGAGGGAGGGCAGCATCCTTGGTGCTGTGCTAAATGAGGCATAAAATATCTATAGTTAGGAGACTTCTGCCCTCCAGGAGTTAATATAGCTACTAGGCCTATCTGAATGTTGACTGTAGCTGCTTGTCCTTGTGCACCTGGCCTCCCCAAAGCACTGCATCTCATGCACATTAAAAACAACCACTAACACACCATGCCTTGGAGAGTATTTATTTTTTATTGGAGACCGAGCCAAGTGTTATATTTAGTCATCAGAAATTCAGATAGTTTATGTAGTGCCAGTAATTGAACATTTGTAAGTCTTTACAGTGGAGCAGTCAATTGTTGATTTTTTAAAAATTGACTGCACTTGCATTATCCATTGCAGTATATACCGTGTATTTTAGAACAGTCAGTTATTCATGTGCCATCTTGTACATTTCTTAGAAGATTTTAAGATCATGAAAATATAGTTGATGATCCTTTTGTTGATC